TAGCTGTGTTGTTATTTTCCTCCCAGTTACCCTTTCCCTATGCTAGGTTGTAGTAAATTTTTTCTATTTTAAGCACACATGGACTCTGAGTCTGATTATTTAACTCTGGCATTGCTAAGCTATTTTTCTCTGCTGAGTTACGATTTTTATAAAAACTCCAACACGGAGTGAGCTCCCGTCTCTGGCTCCAGCTCCTGCCAACCTAGCAGTTCGAAAGCAAGAAATTGCAAGTAGATAAATAGGTACCGCTTCGGTGGGAAGGTAACAGCATTCCGTGCGCCTTGGTGTTTAGTCATGCCGGCCACATGACCACGGAGACGTCTTCGGACAGCGCTGGCTCTTCGGCTTTGAAACGGAGATGAGCACTGCAACCCTAGAGTCGGACTCGACTGGCTTTCGAGCAAGGGAACCTTTACCTTTACCTTTCCTGAGGAGGATTGTTTGGCTTGTCAGCTCATAATGCCTAATGGTATGGGGAACTGTGTGCTTGACACGGCGAAAGGTGGAAGGAGAGGGGCATACCATCCCATAATAATCCCTACAACCATGTTAGTTGGCTGTAAGGGTTGCCAACCTCCAGATGGGGCCTGGAGATATCTCGGTTTTACGACTGGTCTCCAGGCAAGAGAGATCAGTTCCCCTGGAGAAAATGGCTGCTTTGGAGGATGGACTCTGTGGCCTTTTCGCCCACGGAGGTCCCTCTCCTCCTCAAACTGCACTCTCTCCAAGCTCCACCTCCAAGTCTCAGTGAATATCCCGACACAGAGTTGGCAACCCTGTTGTGACAGCATCCCATTGAGAGAAGTGGCTATTATCTGGGTAGGTCTGCTTTGCTCTGTGTGTGTGTGTGAGAGTGTGAGTGATTCTTGTAAGCATTGTCTCCTTTCTGGTAAACAGCCGTTGAGGCGGAGACCTTGTGACTTCTGTTTTCCTCATGCCTATTTGCAGTGTGTGAAACCATTCACCCATAGCTACCACAACAGGCCATTAATCAACATATGACTAAGTCTAAGGCCCGGCCTACATGTGCAACTAAATGAGACTGGTAGAATGCCATGGTATCCCAGCTGACCTCTGATGGAATGAAGGATGAGACTTGTTAAATGCTCCTGTGTATTGAAAAATTCCCCACAGATAGAAATGTAGCGTGACAGGGAGTGTGGGGGGGGATTACTACAAAAGATCTCCCTGACCTGTTGGAGCAGCAGTTCCCAGTATGGCACCATGATGCCCACCAATCCGTTTTCCTACACCGACTTCTTTTTCTAAGTATCCCTGCACCGAAGTAGGGTTGCCAGGTCTGGGTTGGAAAATACCTGGAGACTTTGGGGGTGAAGCCAGGAGAGGGCGGGGTTTGGGGTGGGGAGGGGCCGCAGCATGGTACAGTGTCACAGGGTCCGCCGTTCAAAGCAGCCATTTTCTCCAGGGGAGCTGATCTCTGTCAGCTGGAGATCAGTTGTAAAAGCGGGAGATCCCCAGGCCCCACCTGGAGGCTGGCAACCCACCAAAGTGATTATCCAGTCCCCCCTACTCCATAGCCTCTGCTTCTCATGGCAGCCATTTTGTGGTGGCAGCCATTTTGTTGTTGTTTCTGGTTGGAGCAGGAGCTGATTCGAAAGATCCCGGGAGGCACCGCTTTTGGGTCTGCGGGGACCACCCATCCAGACACTGCTGCCTCCATCACAGAATGGTGCTGGGCTTGGAACCTCCAAAGCTTTGTAGTGCAGTGGTTAGACTGTTAGAATAGGACTGGAGACACTTGACTTTAAATCCCTGCTTGCCCTGGAACTTACTGAGTGACTTTAGGTCTTTAAGCCTCACCTTTGTCACTGGCTGGGGTTTAGGATAAAACTGAGGACGGGAGAGAAAAACAGGTTGCTTACCTGTAACTGATGATCTTCGAGTGGTCATCTGTGCATTGATTCACACCCATGAGATCTACTGCTGGATTGAGCGGCATTGTAGCAAGCTCTTTAACGGATTTTCGCGCCCAGACCTCGGGCATGCGCAGCAACCCCACCACGCATGCCCAGAGGGGAGGGTGCAGACATCCCACCAGTTCCTTCAAACCGCCGCGAATCAATGAAAATGTAGAAGCTGACAGCAGCGGGGAAGGAGGGCGGGTGGTGTGAATGCACAGATGACCACTCGAAGATCATCAGTTACAGGTAAGCAACCTGTTTCTCTTCGACGTGCTCTCTGTGCTTCACACCCATGGGAGATTAGCGAGCAGTGGCCTACCCAGAGGAGGGTGCTGGCAGGTCCTTACTGCCTAGCCGAAGATAGAATGTGACGTCCCATGTTGGTATTAGAGTTCTTCCGGACGTCTGGGGCGTAGTGCCTTATGGAGAAAATGGCCGCTTTGGAAGGTGGGTTTTATGGCATTGCACTCCACTGAAGTCCTTCCCCTCCTCAAACCTCCAGGTATTTCCCAACCCAGAGTTGGCAACGCTGTAATTCCGGAACTCTAGGCCCCATCTGGGAGGCTGGCAGACAAGTATACAGCTTCCTTGTGTTTAGGGAGGGGAAGAGGAAAGGGAGAAGAAAGTACTTCTATTGAGAGAGCCGTTGTCTAGCAACAGATGGTAGAGTAGACCTGGCTGCTGGGTGGGGAGAGAGGTCAGTCGTTAAAAGCTCTCCCTGGCGTGCGAAGGAGACCTTTCCTAAGGAGCTGCCTTTCTGCCTGAGATGAAATGCTTCTGTCTGAAGAGAAACTGCCCTGTGTGAGCAGCTGGGATTACTTTGGCTTGGGAGGGTGGTCAGCATCTTGCTTTGGCGTCCTCTTTTCCCTCCTCCCTCGCTGACTCCACCATTGTTGGGAAGGATGGCTGGTCCCCAGGACTCTTATTTGGAGGGGGGGACCTCTGTGCACAGCCCAGGTCAGCAATCTCTCCCTGGGACCACATTTCCCCCAGGAGACAGCCCCAGAAGGAAAGAGAAATCCCAATGGGCCTTCACGGAGTTGTGGACTAGGGCTCAGAGTCCAAAAGAGGTGTCGACCTCTCTCAGGTCTTGACTTGGGAAGTGCTTTAGACGACTTGGCTAATCTTGGTTTGGTTCCTTCCCCAAATACAAGGCTTGAACTACAAATTGCATAGCAGATCCTTGCCGGGAACTCAAAGCCACTTTTTGAAATACTTGTTTGAAGCACCGGGGTGCAGTGTTCCCTCTAAGCTGAGTTAGTGGGAGCTAGCTCACAGTTTTTTAGCCTCCAGCTCACACATTTTTGTCTTTGCTCAGGAAGGGATGGCTCCAGAGCAAACTATTTATGCAGTAGCCAAATCGCTCACTCACAACTTTAATGCCAGTAGCTCACAAAGTAGACTTTTTGCTCACAAGACTCCACAGCTTAGAGGGAACATTGCCGGGGAGCATACAGATTCTTCTGTTTCTTTTCCAGTGGGGCTAATAGCAATTTGCAGGGAGGGTGTGATTTACATCTGGAAAATGGCATCGGCTGTGGGGAGATGACGGCTAACCAGATTTTATTCCAGCACAAGCTTTGTTGGACTAGAAGCCCAATTTGCCAGATTCCGGTAGTGGACCTCACTGCCTGAGTCGGGGTTGCCAACCTCCAGGTAATACCTGGAGACCTCCCACTGTTACAGCTGATCTCTGGACAACCAAGGTCAGTCCCCCTGGAGAAAATGACTGCTTTGGGGGATGGATTCTATGGCACTGTACCCTGCTCAAGTCCCTCCCCTCCCCAAACCCCGAGCCCTCCCAGGCTCTACCCCCAAAATCTCCAGGTACTTCCCAGCCTAGAGCTGGCAACCCTACCTGGGTCTGAGAAAGCGGCCCTCTACTCCACAAAAGCCTTACGCCGGAGTAAAATCTGGTTAGTGCTACAGGAGGACTCCTGTCTGTGGTTTTTTGCTCTCCAAATGGGTAAAAAGTGGAGCTGCAATGTGGCTGAACAGGAGCAGCCTGGTGCAGTGTCACTGAACTGGGGGGAGGCGGTGATTGCTGGGTTCCCCCCCCCCCAAAGCTGCTTGAGTAGAAAGCCAGGGCGTCCTTCCTTCCTTTGGTGGGCCGGATGCTTTCGCTGCCGCCTTGTAAGGGCTCTGTTGGTGCCTAGGGCAAGTGTTCGTCCATGAATGGCTCACCTTCCCCGCTCCGAGTCCCGCCAGATATCATGTTCGGCCTGTCTGATCTTGGTTGTTTGGCTTCCTGGGTCCCCTCTGAGCTCTCTCACCTCTCTTATCTTGAAAGATTTCTGAATCTGTCTCTCTTATCTTGAATGGCTTGGCTATTCTGAGCAGTTTCCGGCCCTCTCCGGGGTTTTAGATGGCAGCCCTTCAAAGGTTTTGTTGATCTCTCTCTCCGGACGGGATAACCTTTTGGCCCAAGCACTGTTTGCTCTGGGTTCTCCGTCAGCTCCCTGCCGAGCTGGTTAACTGATAATCCAGGCTGTCCGCTAGATAAGCGGACCCACAGGTGGGTCCATGGAGGGAAGCTGAGGCTGTAGGTTCTTCTTTGTCTGGCCCACGTGTGCGCCTCCCTTAAAGAGGCGCATACCTCTGACAGAACCAAAGCTTTGCAAGGTTCTGTCCAGAGCCACCACCTGTCCTCTTCCCACAAAAAAATTAAAAAAAAAGAAGAATTGCATTATGCTGCCAGACTAGCACCAGTCCCTTTTTGAAACCAGTGGAGCAAATTTTGAATGAATGGATTCTTGAGCAATACCAGCTTTGAGGAAAGAGGATACCTGAAAGGGAGTTTTCACAAGCCAGCCCTCCGTCAGCTGGATTTGCATGGAATTTCTCCCCTGCTGCAGACACTGGGTGACAGGGTTCCTAGGCGTCGTAACCAGTACTTAACAAAAAGTCCGTGGTTCGGCGTTGCAGTTTCAGTGTCGCCGAACTGAATCTCTGCTTCCAGTGGCCGTGATTGCACCCTGGATATCTGCCGGGGGTGGGGAACTTGACCCACGAAACGCCCTTTTCTCTGCCTGGTGAACTGATGCCTATTTTACCTTCTCCCCTTCTGTTTGCCCGCAGCACAAAACCGATGCATGAGAAGGCGGGGCCCATGCACAGTCCGGACAAGCCAGAGGCACCGCAGAAGGAAAAGGGCTTGGATTCTCCAAACGGCAGGTGAGTGTCGAGGGTGGGGTTTCAAAGGACCCGATCCCAGACCAGAGCTCAACTTTTGTTTCCCTTCTTCCGTTTGCTTCTTGGGTAATCTCCACCAGCCACCTTCTTGGTCTTCGCCAACTGGATGGGATTGACAGAGGCTGTGATCACACGCACCTTTAGATCTGACATAGGCGCAAATGCCTGACAGATCTAAAGGGAGCGATCTGGGAAACGTCCCACAGTTATCGGCAACCCGTGCTGCTCTGCTGCAGAAGTGGAGTTAAAAGACACCGGGAAAAGTCCCGTAGTGAAGGGGTTGCGATGGGCCATGGACAGACTTTTCCCTGTCTGATCGCTCAAGAATACTCTCAAGCCGTCGTGATGGTCTGATGAGGCCATCCTGGCTTGGTGTCAGTCCCCCTCCCTTTGCAGTATGTGCATCATCGCATACTCCATAGGCAGTGTTCCCTCTAAGCTGAGTTAATGTGAGCTAGCTCACAGTTTTTCAGCCTCCGGCTCACACATTTTTTGTCTTAGCTCAGGAAGGGATGGCTCCAGAGCAAGCTAATTTATGCACTAGCCATATTGCTTGCTCACAACTTTAATGTCAGTAGCTCACAAAGTAGAACTTTTGCTCACCCCACAGCTTAGCGGGAACATTGCGGGAACATTGCTTAGAGAGAACACTGAACACGACTCAAGTGCAGTTGCATCTGATCGCACAGGGATGGGCTGCGCCCGCAGCTACAGAGGGAGGTGTGATCTCGCAACCGCGGGTCAAGTTCCTCCGGAGGGAATCGCCTTGCTCCCCCTCCACGTCAACTGGCACGTGTGAGCGCAACCAGAGAAAGTTCTATCATCACTTTCTCTGTCTCTGTAATGCACCCCTGTTCCCATCCTATGCTGTAGCATGGTCAGATGTAGGAATAATGTTGCCATCCTCCAGGTGAGTCCTGGAAATCTTGCAGAATTACAGCTGATAGACTGAAAGGACCACCTTGTTGTTGTTCAGTCGCACAGTCGGGTCCGACTCTTCGTGACCCCATGGACCAGATCCCGCCAGGCCCTCCTGTCTTCCGCCGTCCTCTGAAGTTTGCTCAATTTCATGTTCGTTGCATCTAGGACACTGTCTAACCATCTCATCCTTTGCCGTCCCTGTCTTCTTTGACCTTCAGTCTTTCCCAGCATCAGGGTCTTCTCCAGGGAGTGCTCCCTTCTCATTGGGTGGCCAAAGTATTTGAGCTTCAGCTTCATTATCTGGCCTTCCAGGGAACAGTCAGGGTTGATTTCTTTTAGGATTGACTGATTTGATCTTCTTGCAGTCCAAGGGACTCTCAAGAGTCTTCTCCAGCACCATAGTTCAAAAGAGTCTATTCTTCGGCGCTCGGCCTTCCTTATAGTCCAACTCTCGCAGCCATACATGACTACTGGGAATACCATTGCTTTGACCATGCAGACTTTTGTTGGCAGGGTGATGTCTCTGCTTTTTATCATCCTGTTTCCTCCCAAGGAGCAGGCATCTTTTAATTTCACGGCTGCTGTCACAGTCTGCCGTGATCTGGGATCCCAGGACCACCTACCCTGGAGAAAATGGCTGCTTTGGAGGGTGGACTTCATGGCATTATGCTCTGCTCTCCCCGAGGCTGTACACCCAAGTCTCAAGGAATTCCCCAGCTCAAAGTTGGCAACTGTATATAGGAAGGCCTTGTCAATATTTCCTAGCTGAATTCCTTCCTCCCCTGTCTGAGTCGCAGACTCATAGCTGCCTGCACTGGGTCCCTTGGCTGCAGGGAGACCGGGGCCTTCCAGTGGATTGGGGCACTGGCTAGACGGTCGGCTTTGAGCCGTTGGGAGGCCGGAGTGGCTTCAAAGGGGATCTCTGTTTGCCTTTCAGCCTGCACTTGAGTGACGCTGTCAAGGAGGAGGACCTCAAGAAGTGTCACCGGGAAGTGGTGAGTTGGGGGGAAATGGGGATCATCCGTACCCTCCACTGCTTTTCACAGCCTCCAGGAACACCATGTGGGACTAGAGGGATGCCACGTGTCTTTCCTCTGGGGGCCATCTGTCCTGCGATACCAAAAGCCGCTACCTTCATATCCTCTCCTGCTGCTTCTCTTCCCGCCCTTGGCTTGATTGTTGCAGGCGTCCGGCCTCGTGACATCTGCCGCGTTTTTACCTGGGCTGTGTCGACTGCTTCACTGTCTGCAGCGGAATGTGGTTTTCTGTCCCGGCTGCTCTGGGGAAGGGCTAAGTGTCTTTGCAAGCGGATGAGCGGCCACAGAATTGCCATCCTTGCGTAGAAGGGAGAGGGGGCAGGTTGTTTGGAGATGGATGGTTTGGTTTTGGGCCTCAGGCCATTAGTGTTCTTGATGGGTCTGACTGAGCTAATTTTATAAGATTTACAGCCTTTGACGAGATCATGCAGCTTTGGTGTAGGGAGTTAGGTCTCAAAGACCCACAGGGCCGGGTAGCCAAAGGCTGGTATCTCTACACTACACCAAACTGAGAGCCAGTTTGGTGTAGTGTTTAGGAGCATGGACTCTAATCTGGGAGAACTGGGTTTGATTCCCCATTCCTCTAAGTGCAGCTGCTGGTGTGACCTTGGGTCAGTCACAAGTTCTCTCAGAGCTGTTCTCTCAAGGTCAGTTCTCGAAAGAGCTCTCTCAGCCCCACCTACCTCACAGGGTGTCTGTTGCAGAGAGGGGAAGGGAAAGGAGATGGTAAGCCACTCTGAGACTCCTTTGGGTAGTGAAGGGCAGGGTATAAATCCAATCTCCTCTTCTCTTCTCGGGAGCCCTTGCTGAGTTCAGGCTGAGGGCTGATTGAAATGTGATGCTAGCCCACGAGAAGAACTCCCCTGTGTGGTATTTATTTAAACGACATGCGGTGCTTCCTTGAGCGCACGCACACTGAGCATGCCAATGCTATGCTTGCCTGGCAAGTGGATTTTGGGTGCGCTGCAGTTATGTGCAAAATGTCCAAGATCCCAGTTTAAACAAGAATGCCTGGGGGAAGATCTTACCATCTAGCGTCAGGCCTGAGAAAGGCAGAAGGGTCGTTTGGTTGAGTCTCCATTAGCAGAGCCGTTGGTAGAAAAATCCAGGTGGGTAGCCATGATCCCTCTAAGCTGTGGAGTCTTGTGAGCAAAAATTCTACTTCGTGAGCTACTGGCATTAAAGTTTTGAGCAAGCGATTTGGCTACTGCATACATCAGTTTGCTCTGGAGCCGTCCTTCCTGAGCTAAGACAAAAATGCATGAGCCGGAGGCTAAAAAACTGTGAGCTGGCTCACACGAACTCAGCTTAGAGGGAACACAGGTGGGTAGCCGTGTTGGTCTGAAGCAGCAACAGAACAGAGTCTGAGTCCTCCAGCGGCACCTTTCAGACCGACAAAGTTTTATTCAAAGTGTAAGCTTTCGTGTGCAAAGCGCACTCCTTCAGGCAAATGGGAGTATAAAATCTCCTCAAGGGCTATTTATTTATTTATTATTTTGATTTTTATCCCGTCCTTCCCGCAAGCGGGCTCAGGGCGGGTCACGACGATAGAGTCCAATACAGTCTTAAAATGATTCAGTCGATAAACAGCAAACATTAAATTAATACAATTTAAAAAATGGTTAAAGTGGGCAGTGCAGCGAATTTCAATTTTTCAGTTCCTTCAGCTGGGAATGAATGGGCTGAAGCCGAGCCATAAAGGTCTCGTTAGGTAAAGGTAAAGGATCCCTTGCTCAAAAGCCAGTCGAGTCCGATTCTAGGGTTGCGGTGCTCATCTCCGTTTCAAAGCCAAAGAGCCAGCGCTGTCCGAAGACGTTTCCGTGGTCATGTGGCCGGCATGACTAAACACCAAGGCGCACGGAACGCTGTTACCTTCCCACCGAAGTAGTACCAATTTATCTACTTGCAATTTCTTGCTTTCGAACTGCTAGGTTGGCAAGAGCTGGAACTAGAGATGGGAGCTCACTCCGTCATGCGGCACCCAGGTCTTGAACTCCATGAAATTGCTGAGCGGTTGGGTTAGAACAGATAAAAGGACGTCCTTCTTCACCCAAAGAGTGATTAACACTTGGAATTCACTGCCACAGGAAGTGGTGGTGGCTACAAGCATGGACGGCTTCAAAAGGGAATTAGATAAGCATATGGAGCAGAGGTCCATCAGTGGCTATTAGCCACAAGGTATAGATAGGGACTCTGGGGCAAGTGATGCTCTGTCATCTTGGTGCTTGGGGGGGTCAACAGTGGGAGGGCTTCTAATGTCCTGGCCCCACTGGTGGACCTCCTGATGGCACTGGTATTTCTGGCCACTGTGTGATACAGAGTGTTGGACTGGATGGGCCTTTGGCCTGATCCAACATTGGCATCTCTTAAGTTCTTATGTTCTTATGAACTGCTGAACTACTGACCTTCCACAGCCTGCAGTTCAGCGTCTTAACCACTTGAGCCACCGCAGCTCCTAAGGTCTCGTTAACGGCAGCTTATTGCGACAGCCAGAGGGAGGCTGCCCCCCTGCCTCAGCCAAGGGCCTGGCGGAACAGCTCCCTTTTGCAGGCCCAGCAAAACTGTAACAGGTCCTGTGGGGCCCTGATCTCAGTCGGGAGCATGTTCCACCAGGCCTGAAAAAGTTTATATCTATATATATATAAAAACTGGCACTAGAATATAATTAAATCAATATGCAGTTCTAACAATAGGTGTATTGTTTAAAAAATTGGCAGTAGAATATTGTTAGATCAATGCACTATTGTAACAATCTGTGTAACAGTTTCTCTGAATTCTTGGCTTTCATTCTTTTTTTAAAAAGTCTGTAGCCCCTTCCCTTGCAGCGACATGCCTTTCCCCTTATATCTCCACAAGGGAAAGGGTTAGAGACTCCACTTAAAAAAAAATTAAAACTGGGAATCCAGAGGACCTGTTACACATATTGCTACACATGTTGTTACAATAGTGTATTGGTCTAATAATATTCTACTCCTGATTTAAAAAATAAAATAAAAAGTGCCCCCCCCCCAGTTGTGGGGTGGGAAACATCTGCCATGGGGACATAGTCAGGAGTCAGAAAATGGCTGCCACGTGGGTGGGTAAATTTGAAGTTTCCCACCCACATGGCAGCCATCTAGGCTTTACTGAGATCTTTCCCAAAACCTTTTAGCAGAACGGGCTTAAGAAAGATCAGAGGCAAAACCAGAGAATCCCCCAGAGGTGCACGAATGCTTTGCTGACAAGCAGGAGACAAGCCCTGCCTCCCAGCAGCATTGACTCTGGGACAGAAACCTGTGCGGAAATGGCCTCAGTTAGGAGAGCTTTTCTCTCATCAGTAGTCTCCTTCAAGTACGGTACAGGTTAGATCATGGGCCACGGGCCAATTTCTGACCAGCCACTTAGAGCCTGCTTCTCAAATTGCGGAGCAAGCCTGCCTGGTGGTGTACGGAACCCCTGGCGGGGTGGAACCTTCCTCCCCTCCCCAGCCCAGACGTGCTCTTTAGCAGAGATTCCTCATGGATTTAAACTGGATCTGTGGGGGCGACCACTCCCCCGACACGCTCCGTCATCAACATGCAGTTAGCAAGAGCTTCTGCCTTTGTTCTCTGGGTGGCTCCCCGTGAGGAGGAGTTGGAGACGGCTGGCTCTCGCCTCCTTTTTTAAATGCCGTCGCTGGATTAGCGCTGCAATCCATGAATCATTGTGCTTAGCAGCGTACACGGGTCTCTGCACGCTCTGGCCGGGAGCTGTGTCCTTGGCGCAGAGCTGGGCATGTCTGGCTGAAGGCAGAGGAAAGTTGAGAAGGAAGGAGAGCCCGAAAAGTCAGAGAAACGGCTCTGGACTCTGCGGGTTCTTATTCTAGCAATAAGGTTCCGGGCCCCTGGTCTACCTGTATCCCCTTGGAGCCGTTTTCTTCCGTGCAGGATGCTTCCCCCGTGTTTTCCTCTCTGAGCAGTGTGTTCCCTGTCCAGAGCTTTCTGCAGTGGATCCAGGAATCACTGTTGTTGTCGCTGGGGGGAAAAAACAAAACACCAGTATCTCAGACTTATCATTCGACATCCACGTTCTGGCAGCATCCTTGGAAGAACCGCTGTAACTTCCTGACTCCTCGTCTCTTGTTTGATTTCTAGGCGCCAAATAAGTACAATTCCCAGTACCACAAGTTATTCAAGGATATCCCCACGGAGGAGAGCGTGCTGAAAGGTGAGTGGGGGGACGGGACAGGAAGCTGAGAGTGCCACCTTATGGCAGAGAAAGGAAGGTGCATGTCAGAAAGCCTTTTTGAGCAACAGTTGCACTTTCAGGGAAGGTGAAAGTGATACAGCCTTTGCTTCCCAGGATATGCACCCTTGCCTCCCTGCAAATGGCTTTGGCAGGTTTTTAAAGCACTGCAAGAATCTGGCAAAATCTGAGAGCAGTTTAGGTACTGTGTATTAGAATTATTAGAATTAGATTAGAATTATTAAAATTAGATTAGAATTATTAGAATTAAATTAAATTAAACTGTTTATTAGAATTAGATAAGCATATGGAGCAGAGGTCCAACAGTGGCTATTAGACACAAGGTATAGATAAGAACTCTCAGAGCAGAGGTCCATCAGTGGCTATTAACCACAACGTATAGATAGGAACAGGGGTCGATTCAGGGGAATCGCGGGGGATCGCCGTTCCCCCGGGTGAGGTGCGGGGGGCGGGGCACCTTCCCCCAGGCCGGGGGAATGACTGGCAGGCATCAAGACCCAAGAGAGAGTTGAGATTGGTGTGCTCAAGTCTCGGAGGAGGCTTGTATTACACTTTGATCCCCTCTCCCGAAGCGGGCGAGCACATTCAGGGGGTGTGGCCTTATGACACACTTCCGGTGATGTCAGGGGATGTGGCATATGCTAATGAGTTATGCTAATGAGTTCCCCCTAGCTCTTTTTCTACGAAACGACCCCTGGATAGGAACTCTTGTTCTGTGGCAAGTGATGCTCTGTCTTCTTGGTGCTTGGGGGGGGGGCAACAGTGGGAGGGCTTCTAGTGTCCTGGCCCCACTGCTGGACCTCCTGATGGCACCTGGTATTTCTGGCCACTGTGTGACACAGAGTGTTGGACTGGATGGGCCATTGGGCTGATCCAACATTGGCTTCTCTTATGTTCTTATGTTTTACTCCATGAGTATTTAAATTGTGGAATTCGGTACCAAGGATGTAGCAATGGCCACGAGCATGGTTGGTATTAAAAAAAAGATTCGACAGGGGAAGGGTCCATCAATGGCTCCTGGCCAAGAGCACTCAAGGGAACCTCCTTTTATCCCCATCAAGTTGCAGCTGATTTACAGTGACCCCCCCGTTGGGTTTTCAAGGCAAGAGACGTTCGCCATTGCCTGACTCTGTGTAGTGGTATTCCTTGGTGGTCTCCCATCCAGATACCAGCCCTGCTTAGCTTCCGAGATCTGACGAGACCAGTCTAGCCTGGGCTATCAAGGTCAGGGCAACCTCTGTATACAGAGGCTGAGAAGTTATGAATACCATCGCTAGGGGGCAGCCTCAGGAGGAAGCTTTGGTCCCTTTGCCTTCTGAGTCACTGGTTTGGCCACTGTGATACAGGACTTTTACATTAGGTGTGTGCACTTTGGGTAATGACACACACATCACATTGCCTTGCCTCCTCTGAAGAACAAGCAACCTGCCGTCTCGCCTTGATTCTCTCCACCAATTCAGTGCTGGCTGAACTGGGACCCTTTCAGCTTATATGGACACTGGGGGCTTGCACTTGTCCTGTCCCACGTGAGGGCCAGTGGAGGATCTGAGGAAGAGGGGCTTGGGGTGGTGGGCCACATCTGTTCCTTGAAGCTGATGACTTCTTGAAACCAGTTGATTCCACCCCTGGCCAAAGGCTGGCAATTTGAGCCGAGCAATTGATGTGGTCTGTAGCCGGGATTTGGAGTCTGGTTTGGGGACTAAACCTGCCACGATCCTTGTGTTTCTTGCAGTCTGCTCCTGCGCCCTCCAGAGAGACATTCTCATCCAAGGCCGGCTCTACATTTCCCCCAACTGGCTCTGTTTCTATGCAAACCTTTTTGGAAAAGATATCAAGGTAAGCTAACATCGTCGGGGTCATCGGTGAAGGAGAAGGTAGTTTGTCACAGAACTTGCCGCGAATTTACAAAGGCTGTGTGAGAGGTATGCCGCCAAACCCTATGAGTGTTTCCTGGGAAGGAATTCCAGGGCATTGAGTGGGACTTGGTCATTAAGTAAGTGAGTGCAGACTTTGCAGTCAGTGGAGGGGGGCAAGGCTGGATAGACCCAAGGCCACTAAAGAAGTCAGTGCCCTCACCTAGCCTGAATCCCATGTGAAACAGATCTAGAAAAAAGGTTCCTCCAGGAAGGCAAGGGTGCTGAGAAGCCACTCCCCTGGGGAAACCACTTCAAGCAAAAAGAACAAATTGGCCACTGGTTCGTAATGCCTTTGCTTAGCTAGATTTCTTTATCAGAGGCTGAACCCAGCAGTTGTGGAAGTACATCTTGATGAAATCCTGCATTCGGAATCGGGTATCTGTTTCATCACAAGCCCTTTCTTCTCCTGGAATTGCAACTTTGGGGTTTACCTGTGCCACATGTGTGCAGTTACACTGTTGTACCTATGCGTACCTGTGTGGTGTACTTATTGTATGCATTATAATGGAGGAGTCTGCTTCCCCCCCTCTGATATTTATGTGTGTTGGTTTAGTCTCATGGGGGTGGAGTCCCAGCTCAGTTAATTATGTTGGTTAGTTCAAACAAGGAAGGGCTCCACAAAACTCGCAGGGGGAATCTCATTCTTCCCCCCCCCCATTGCCCCCCTCCACCCACTCACCTTGGGGCCCAGGTGTGGTGGGGTCTGGGAGCCACTCCCAAGCGGCTTCTGGCATCTGCCACGGCAGCCATGACCTGAGTGGCTCAAAGTGTTAGCCACCATCACCACCACCACGGCTGGGCGCCAGAGTTTTGTTGCAGCTGCTGCCAGGCTCAGCCACTACAGAGCCAAGTAAGTATATTAAAAAAAAAATTTACATCATTTCGGAGGAAATTTAAACATTTCAGATTTTTCTGCACCCCTGGAGAGTCCTCCAAGTTTGCAGGAAAATCTCCTTAGCGTCCATGTAGCCCCAATTTGCAGTTTTAGATATCCGCAGATGGGGCCCACAGGTTGCTAATATTATATAGACCGAAGACTGCGTGAGCTGTTCATTTTATTTCTACAGTCCTTAGACCAGTCATGCAAAAAGAAGTACACCTTTACAGTATTCCAAGATTTTAAAACACATCCGTGTGAGCTGTCTTGTCTTTGGGGAGGGGCCGTGGCTCAGTGGAAGACCATGCGCAGAAGGTCCCAGGTTCAATCCCCAGCATCTCCAGTTAAAAGGACCAGGCAGCAGGGGGGGATGTGAAAGACCTCAGGTCGGGGACCCTGGAGAGCCGCTGCCAGTCTGAGTAGACAAGACTGACCTTGATGGACCGAGGGTCTGGTTCAGTATAGGGCAGCTTCACGTGCTCGGCCAGTCGCTCCCACCCCTGTATCTTCTTGCTAATATGAGGATGGTGTTTTGAATGCATCCGTCTCTGTGGTGTGAACCTAAGAGCAGGAACCTGAGTGGGCGCCCTATTTCTGATTTGCAATCAAAAGGGGAACCCCCCCCCAGGGGAAAAAGAGCAACACAGAGGAGACTTGGACCCATAAGACTAGACTGTGCAAAGACGCTAGGGCTGCCAGGTTCCCCCCGGCCACTGGCAGGGAATGGGGGATAGGGTGGCCAGCTGCAGGCTGGGAAACTCCTGGAGATTTGGGGGTGGAGCCTGGGGGAGGACAGGGACCAATGAAGAGAAGATAAGAGATTGGATTTATACCCCGCCCTTCACTTGGAGTCTCAGAGCGGCTTACAAACTCCTTTCCCTTCCCCTCCCCACAACAGACACCGCTGTGAGGTGGGTGGGGCTGAGAGAACTCTGACACAAACTGCTCTTTTTCAAGGACAGCTGTGCCAGAGCTTGTGACTGACCCAAGGTCACATCAGCAGGTGCAAGTAGAGGAGTGGGGAATCAAACCCGGTTCTCCCAGATTAGAGTCCACACACTTAACCACTACACCAAACTGGCTCTCCTCTACACCAAACAATGCTCCCTCTAAGCTGCGGAGTCTTGTGAGCAAAAATTCAACTTTGTGAGCAACTGGCATTAAAGTTGTGAGCGAGCGATTCGGCTGCTGCGTAAATCAGTTTTCTCTGGAGCCCCTCCTTCCTGAGCTGAGACAAGAACGTGTGAGCCGGAGGCTAAAAAACTGTGAGCTGGCTCACACTAACTCAGCTTAGAGGGAACACTGACAGGGGCCTCAGTGCCGTGGAGTGCACTGCCCAAAGCAGCCGTTCTCTCCAGAGGAACTGAGATCTGCAGGCTGGAGACTGTTTTTTTTTTAAAAAAAATGTATTTCAGTCTCAAAGCAGAAGAGCTTTATAGGCGGAGGCCGTCTTTGTGGCACACGAGGGAACCCAGGGTGCCTCTGCTTTCCAGTCCCGCGGCTGGATTCTTTGTTTGGAGGTTATCTGCCAAACACCGCAGTTCAACAGAGAACTTCCTTCCATTTTTAGAACAGACTTCCGTAGGGGGAAAAAAAGCCAAATTATTTCTATCAGCAGCTCTACCTATTTAAAGATCGAACAGGAAGAAGGCCACTTCCACTCCCTAAGTTCAGCCCGTTGAGTGGGATTCTTCTGGCTTTGCATCCCAATGTGATCTTTAACAGCACCCTTGAGCTTTTTCTGTGACTGTTGAAATCATTTTCCTAACGCTCCTGTGGGCCGACATGTTTCCATTTCTCTCCTATATCCTGGACACTGAAAGGTGACTTTTCTACCCTGAGGTCCTTCTTAGGACCACCATATCATCTCTAAAGCTGTGAACTGACTATTATTCATTTCTGGGGAGCAATCAGACTGACCCCAACCAATGTTCCCTCTAAGCTGTGGAGTCTTGTGAGCAAAAATTCTACTCTGTGAGCCACTGGCATTAAAGTTGTGAGCAAACAATTTGGCTGCTGCATAAGTTAGTCTGCTCTGGAGCCATCCTGCCTGAGCTAAGACAAAAAATTGTGAGCCGGAGGCTAAAAAAAATGAGCTAGCTCACACTAACTCAGCTTAGAGGTAACACTGACCCCAACACCAGACTGATACTGGATGAGTGTATAGAGACAATGAAGGAGGAAGAGAAACATTGCGACACTGTAAATGGCCTTGGTCCATCTCTTATCCTCCCCCTATGAAAGCCAATGTGGCAGTGAGATGGTTGCAACCAGGTTCCAGTCTAATCAGTGTAACATCTTTAAGTGGGAAATATAAATGTTCTTGAATGTCTTCTGTCTTTGCATGTGGTTAAACCGGCTGATATACCCTTGACCTTCCACCTCCTAAAGGACTGTAGCTTTAAATATTTAAATATTTAGAAAAAAATTATGTTCTGGCACAGTGGGGAGGAGTGTGTTACGCATTATGGGCACTAGCCAATAGGTGCCTACCAAATGCATTGTTGCACACACACATACACTGTTCACCAGGATTGTTGGTTGCCTTGCTTGTCTCTATCTGGGAAAATGCCTTTTCCAAATAGGATATTTTTTGGGTGAACAAACCATTCGGCTGCGAAATTGTATTCCCTTGGACACACTTGAGGTTGCAGTCTTAAACATGTGAAATCTAGTCCTAAAGAAATCAGTGTGATTTACATTCAAGGAAAAAGTGTTAGGATCTATAGCTTGGCCCGTAGTTACAGTGTGGGGCTATTGGGGGCTCTGCCCCCTTTCCTTAAAGCTCCCCCCTTCTTAAAGGCCCCCTGGGTCTTCCTTTAATTGCTATTGAGAAGAAGCGGGGAGTGGCCCCCCTCTCCCTCCCTCCTGCAAGATTTAAAGTGCCCTCCAGCTGATTGGCAGGCCACGTGCTCCCCGTTGATCAACGGAAGAATCCTTTAAATATTGCAAGAGGGGAGGGAGAGGGGTGCGCGCCACCTCCCCTTCATTATGGAAAATAATGGCAGCCCCACCAGAATTTTTTTTGCCCCACAAGCCACAAAATCCTGGCTACGGGTCTGTTTATATCCCTTTCCTGTCTGCAGATAGTAGCCAACTTACTGGGTGATGGTCACCACCAGTGTCCCTATAAATTTTCTCCTTCCACTTGTACACCTCTTGCTGCCAAACTTTTTCTTTTTCTTTTACATTGCAGGTGGTTATTCCCGTCGTCTCTGTCCAGCTGATAAAAAAACACAAAACAGCTCGGCTGCTGCCCAATGGACTGGCTATCACCACCAACGCGAGCAGAAAGGTGAGCAATAACAGGCCAAATCGCCCTCCAACATTGCTCTGCACGGCCCAGGGGGATCGTCTTTGACGCGGAGCTATACTGCTCAAGCTACAAACAGGTTTCACCTCTGAATACCAACTCGGTCAAGCGAAACGTCTTTATTTCAGTGCTTCTGGCCAGCCAGAACGTAGCAATAGGCAACGGAGAAGGCATCAATTAATCGCTGACGCTCATTTACCGCACA